ATTTTCAATTTTATTACATTTTCTGATACATATACATGTACTTAAGTTGTGTATCAACTTTGAGCTGATTCCAATCAAATTTAAATTTTTTATAAATTTTAAAAGTTACTCAAAAATTAGGCAAAAAAACCATGGGCTATAGCCTTGGGTATTTTTCAGATTTTGGCACTTTCTTAAAATGGCCGTAACTTAAAAAATTGTAGTCGGAATCAGCTCAAACTTTCTACACAGCATAAGGACATCAATATGTATCAGAAAATGTAATAAAAATTTGGGGTGATTTCGGAGCCAATTTTTGGAAAAAACCATGGGCTATAGCCTTGGGTCTTTGGTCAAATTTTGCCAAAAATGAAAAGGAGAGAATTCTACATTTTTATTACATTTCCTGATACATATACATGTTCTTATGTTGTGCAGAAAGTTTGAGCTGATTCTAATCAAATTTGGATTTTTTAATGAATTTTTAAAGCTACTCCAAATGCCATGTACTGTATTGTAGTGCTTGTCAGCTCATGAAGCTCATGCTGTTTAGCTCACTTAGCATGCTTTGTGGGAAACCCTGGGGTACATACACTAGGTGCTGTCTATTAAATGGAGGTGTACGTTATAGAGAGAGTGTCCATTAAGAGAGACTATACCAACTGTAATTATATCAAAGAAGATGTACAGATACTTTTGTTCATGTAAGGTTAGGATTGGTTACGTCATTGTGTCTAAGTTAAAGTCATAACAATAAAAACTATACAAAACATATGAAGAGATAAACAGAGAGAGAGAGAGAGGGAGGAAATATAGACAGTCTCAGACATCCTTGTGGTAAATAAAGACACAAACAAATTAAGAAAAAGAATAAACAGCTGCTAATGTATCAATCACTCCACAGGAGACCGCCATTAGCTTGAAACACAAAGCGAGGTGAACACCTCATCTTATGATCATTATTAAAGAGACCTCAAGTTACATTGTCCACGTTACACATTGTTTCTAGATCATTCTCTTATAATATGAAACTACAGTAGACCAAACCAGAACTACCCCTATGTAGCAGCTGCTACAACAATTACTATACCTCATTAATACATTAATAATGTACTAACATTAAAAATGACACATTCCCTATTACACTACGGGTATTATATTGCGGTCGTCTCTTCATGATGTTATGAGCTGGTATTGACCAGTCCAGTGTATGTAAGGCCTTGGGTCTAATGAATGGACAAGACCACAGGTAGTGCTAATGGCAGCTGCTCCACTGTTTGAAGACCGTCAGTCAAAGAACCAAACATACTACAAACATGTCTCCCCCTCCCCTCCCTCTCTCCCTCTCTCAAAGAGGACACACGCTCAGAGACATGCCTTAGGGTACAAATACCTTCAGTCTAGACAATCAACCCTGTGGCGGCAGCGGCCGCTGCATGAGGAGTAGGAATAATAGTGGAGGAGGATTGGCAGGGAATATGTCATCAAAATTAAAGTTCAAACTAGCAACAGCATGCCAAGTGTAGACAGGTATGTACAAGTACATCTATTACTTTAAGGAGGGCAGAGTGGGTGTTTACAGCTCATTAGATCCAATTTATATTTAATGATGGTCTATGCTTTGGCTATATATAGTAATACAAGTAGACATACCAGAGGAGAATACAGTGTGTATGAGGCTGCAGGAGACATATCAAACAATGGGAGAGAGAGGGGGAGGGAAAACTAAGTTAATAATGTTAGGACCAGCTGGTAATGAGTGTGTGTGTGTGCTAAAGGTCACTGTTAGTGGGTTCATTTAGACAAAATAAATGAATTAACTTTAATTGAACCATGAGACAAATCAAATTGAATGAGTTAGGCAGCAGCAATGGAATCACAACAATGAATATAGGATATAATGAGGGCACCTTTATAATGAGGACACCTTTATAATGTCCCAATTGGTACAAGCCTATACAAAAGTACCTCTGAAATGAGGACACCTCTGTATTAAGGACAGGTAGTGTGGGCCCAATGGTGTCCTTAATAAAGAGGCTACACTGTACATGTATTAAGGACAGGTAGTGTGGGCCCAATGGTGTCCTTAATAAAGAGGCTACACTGTACATGTATTAAGGACAGGTAGTGTGGGCCCAATGGTGTCCTTAATAAAGAGGCTACACTGTACATGTATTAAGGACAGGTAGTGTGGGCCCAATGGTGTCCTTAATAAAGAGGCTACACTGTACATGTATTAAGGACAGGTAGTGTGGGCCCAATGGTGTCCTTAATAAAGAGGCTACACTGTACATGTATTAAGGACAGGTAGTGTGGGCCCAATGGTGTCCTTAATAAAGAGGCTACACTGTACATGTATTAAGGACAGGTAGTGTGGACCCAATGGTGTCCTTAATAAAGAGGCTACACTGTACATGTATTAAGGACAGGTAGTGTGGGCCCAATGGTGTCCTTAATAAAGAGGCTACACTGTACATGTATTAAGGACAGGTAGTGTGGGTCCAATGGTGTCCTTAATAAA